ACAATCGTAAGTAGGTACAGGAAATAATTGTCACAATAGAAATTAATACCTATCTAGCCATCTATAAAATTATTATGTTCAAACATACATCAAAATGCGTTGGTAACTGGTAAGTACCTAAATGGTATATGTAAAAGGTATAGCACAGAGGGTTAACATGTAGACGTGACTGATGAAATCACTTTTGTTCTAATCAATGCTTAAATTGTTTTAATATAAAATTTAGAATCACTTTCACCTATACGTATAATATAAAAAAAAGGTGGGTAAGTGGATGTCGCTCTGCTGTACAGTAGGTTACAAGTGGGTAACTGTATAATGGATGCTATTAAATTTGAATTCAATGATACAATATCATTGTATAAGAAAAACGATTCTGAGCGAAGACGGTATGTCAGTCTAGGTTTAAGACAATATATATATATATATTTATGGTATTAAATTATATTATGGAATTTATGAATAAATTCCTTAAAATATGCACAGTCTTATCATGAGCATACTTCTTATTCCTTATACTATGGTAGATTGTATGGATAGGCCATAATATTTTGATTTTTCAGTTTCATATATCCCCGAATAATATTTTTAAATTGCAACAAAAACAAAGATCGTTAATATTGATTTTAATATGTAATTTCGTCCAAATTTGAATTTAAAATGTCTGTAAAAAATAACTGTGTTCATATATTTTTTAGATTTTTTGGTTACAGTATGAACTATTTATGAGAACCTTTGTTTTAAATTTGCAATCCTTAGCTATAAAAACTGAACATTTTATAATTTATTAATTACAATGATTGATAATTTTCGAGATTTTGATAAATTTTGTCAAATTTTGATATTAAAAAGGTGGGTAAGTGGATGTCGCTCTGCTGTACAGTAGTGGGTCACTGTATAATGGATGCTATTAAATTTGAATTCAATGATACAATATCATTGTATAAGAAAAACGATTCTGAGCGAAGACGGTATGTCAGTCTAGGTTTAAGATAAATTATATACAAATCTATGGTATTAAAAAAAAATTGACCTATAATAAATTCCAAATTAATCATATCACATTATCACAATATCCATTAGGCACTTATAACACGTTATACATCAACATCAATAACAAACCCTGACACTATCATCGATATATAATAATACACTTTAGAAGTTTCAAGTAGGTACCCCGTACCCACGAATAATATTATATAATCACAACAAAATAACTAGGTTTTTTAATATGAAATTTCGTCCAAATTTGAACATAAAATGACTATAAAAATAAACGGTGATTGTATATTTTTTAGATTTTTCGGTAAGAGAATTAACTACATACGTAGAATCTTGTTTTAAATTTTCAATCCTTAGCTATAAAAACTGAACATTTTATAATTTATTAATTACGATGATTAATAATTTTCGAGATTTTGAAAAATTCTGTCAAAATTCGATGTTAAAATGCTTATAAAAAAAAATTGTGCATATGTATTTTTAATATTTTTCAACTGATATTGTAACAATATATAAGGAGCCTTGTATTAAATTTTTACACTTTTTGGCCCAACAGATAAAACTTAATTGATATTGATAGAAAAAAAAACTAAAAAAATTGAAAACTGTAAATGTCCGTAAACGGCTCAAAAAGAGTCAAAATATTTTAAAAATTGTATGGTGTATAGGAAATGCTAATATAAACATTCAGTGAAATTTTCATGTATCTACAGTAATTCGTTTTTTAATTACAACAAAAAAAGGAAATTGACACATGAGAAATCGAGTGAATATCCAATGTTGTAAAAATTTGAATTTCAAAAGCTCATAAAAATTTAATTTAACTGTCCGGTAGAGATTTTTTTATTGATACAGGTAGACAAACTTATGAGTAATCCTGTATTACATTTTCAAATCTTAGATTTAAAAGGAAAAATTTTTACGAATTCTTAACTCAAAATAATTTGCTAATATTCGTGATTTTTCCATATTTTGTCAATTTTTGAACTTTAAATGCTTATAAAAAAAAATTGTGACTAAAGATTTTTAATGTTTTTCATCTGCCTTTGAAACAATATATTAGGAGCCTTCTATTAAATTTTCAAGCTTTCGCAACCAACAAATAAAATTTTATTGATATTTCTAGAAAAAAAACTAAAAAAAAACGAAAAATGAAAATGTCCCTAAACTGTTCAAAATAAATCAAAATATTTTGAAAATGTTATCGTGTATAGAAGATGCAAATATAAACAACCAGTGAAAATTTCATGTATCTACGGTCATTTGTTTTAAAGTTACACCAAACACCAGAATCGATTTTTTGGAAAACCGATTTTGCGTAAAAATTCCCGTTTTTCCTTAATTTTTATGTTGTTTTTCCCGGCGCTCTTGAAAACTACTGGGAAATTTAAATTTTGACCTCCCCAATGCACCAACGATATTCACTTTCCAATCGAACAAGATACTGAAGTCGAAAATCGAAGCATTATTTCGACTACTTATCGTGTACACAGATACAAAAAAAATAAAAATAAAAAAATAAAAAACACACATCATTGTAAAATCAATACATTCATCGTTTCACTCAGAATCTAAAATATCAAATATTAGATTCTGAGTGAAACGATGAATGTATTGATTTTACTATGATGTGTGTTTTTTTATTTTTTTATTTTTTTATTTTTTATTTTTTTATTTTTTTTGTATCTGTGTACACGATAAGTAGTCGAAATAATGCTTCGATTTTCGACTTCAGTATCTTGTTCGATTGGAAAGTGAATATCGTTGGTGCATTGGGGAGGTCAAAATTTAAATTTCCCAGTAGTTTTCACAAGCGCCGGGAAAAACAACATAAAAATTAAGGAAAAACGGGAATTTTTACGCAAAATTGATTTTCCAAAAAATCGATTTTGGTTATTGGTGTAACTCTAAAACAAATGAACGTATATACATGAAATTTTCACTGGTTGTTTATATTTGCATTTTCTATACACGATAACATTTTCAAAATATTTTGATTTATTTTGAACTGTTTAGGGACATTTTCATTTTCCATTTTTTTTAGTTTTTTTTCTAAAAATTTCAATAAAATTTTATTTGTTGGTTGCGAAAGCTTGAAAATTTAATAGAAGGCTCCTAATATGTTGTTTCAAAGGCAGATGAAAAATATTAAAAATCTTTAGTCACAATTTTTTTTTATATAAAATTTAGAATCACTTTCACCTATACGTATAATATAAAAAAAAGGTGGGTAAGTGGATGTCGCTCTGCTGTACAGTAGGTTACAAGTGGGTCACTGTATAATGGATGGTATTAAATTTGAATTCAATGATATAATATCATTGTATAAGAAAAACGATTCTGAGCGGTGACGGTATGTCAGTCTATGTATAAGACATATTATATACATATCTATGGTATTAAACAAAAAATTGACCTATAATATAAATTCCAAATTAACCATATCACAATATCCATTAGATACTTATAACAGTTATAACGCGTTATACATCAACAAAAACCGTGATACCTTCATAGATATATAATAGTACACTTTAGAAGTTTCAAGTACCCACGAATAATATTATTCAATCACAACAAAATAACTAAAATCGTAATTCTTGGTTTAAATATGAAATTTTGTCTAAATTTGAAATTAAAATGTCTGTAAAAAATAAGTGTGTTTATATATTTTTTAGATTTTTGGGTTACAGTATGAATTATTTAAGAGAATCTTTGTTTTAAATTTTCAACTCTTAGTTATAAAAACTGAACATTTTATAATTTTTAATTCCAACGATTGATAATTTTTGAGATTTTGATAAATTTTGTCAAAATTCCAACTTTAAATGCTTATAAAAAAAAATCGTGCCTATGTATTTTAATATTTTTCAACTGATATTGTAACAATGTATCAGGAGCCTTGTATTAAATTTTTACACTTTTTGGCCCAACAGATAAAACTTTATTGATATTTATAGAAAAAAAA